TGGATGGATGATTTACTCATTACTTCTAAACCAGCAAATCAGGCCTTAGCCTCACAGCCCTATCTTTGTTGGTTTACCGTATACACTGCAGAGTGAATAATCTTAACATTTATTGTAGTCATGATACCTTCAATAGCCACACACCCCCTGACACATCCGCAAGATCACTGAAAACAGGTTGCAAGCCTCTGATGCTTACTAAAAATATGCTGCTTAATAAAAGGCCAAGTGAATTTGGTCTATACTGCAGATATGCTCACTTACTCTCATCAGCAAAGTAACCTGGGGGGCAGGTGTTGATACAGCTGGAGTTGAGTGTGTTGAGGTAAAGGCCTCTTTTGCAGGAGACACAAGCTGAACGACCTACACATCTCTCACAGCTTTTATGGCAGCGTCTACAGCGGTGAGATGCTATGTCCCCGTAGTGTCCCAGTGGACAATGGCTCACACAGGTTCTACACATACAGGAAGGTGCAAAGACACTCAGCTTACAGCAGAATATACGCTTATTGTTATTTAACATTTCAGAGCTGGTCTTGGTAAAGAGATCATTTCACTGCCTAATTTTCAAAGGACAGAACAAAATTATTTTGAGCTCAACAGCAAAATATTGATTTTCATAGTTTAATTTTGCTTCCATAAGCCACATGGAAGCAGGTATGTCGTCACACTTTACATTGTGTGGTTCCATTTCCTTCTGTCAATTCTTACCTGCCACTTTTCAAGCTGCCCAAGCTAAAGTGGACACAGTTGAGACAGTGGGCAACATCTGGTCCATCACAGCCTTGGTCTCCACACTCACTGTGGCATTGTCCTTCATAAAGACCAAACTCTGTGTCATCATCATAATCATCATGTGTAAACAAAGACATTTTTCAAATCTATTTTAAATGTTGTATTCTCTATTCTATTTTTCATTTCACTGAAAGCTATTCTATTATAATATTATTCCCATGTCTACCCAACTTGCTTTATACATTTTTATTCATGAAGGGAAACAATCTATCGCTACAAAAGCTATGTGTATTAGTATCCAGACTCCTTGCAGAGTGCAGATTCATTGAGAAAATCAGTAATTATGAAATATGATTTATTTTCTCAGTTAAAACTTTTTTTTAAAAATCTCTCACCACTGTACTCCTCATCTTCTTCTTCCTCCTTCTGGAGCTCAGGCTCCTCCAGGATCTCCTCTGGTGTTGGGATCTCCAACATCCTCGAAGGGACGTGCTGAACACTGAAGTGCTGGTAAGGGTTCTGAGATGTACCATAAAGGGTCAGAGTCCACTCTTTTAGGTTGCCTGTGTGAGGTAACAATCATAATGGCAAGAAGAACAGGCTTTAACTATAAACTTGTTAGTTTATTAGTTGGATTACAACATCAGAATATATCAACATAATGATGTATCAATATAATGGTTGATTTAAATGTGAATGTAAGTATCAGTGTGCATGTGTTGTTGCACCTCACCCAGCACCTCAGGATTGCGCAGCCTTGAGGGTGAGTCAATAATCTCCAGAGACCACGTGCCTGCTGCCCTCTCACCCCAAAAATGAACTGTCATGAACTCCCAATTTCTGAAGCCCTCATTGGAACTGTCAAACAACCTAAGAAATACAGTGACACAGTGAGGTAAAATGAGATATGGGAAGGTATTCAAAGGTTGACCATATGTTTACTGACAGGCCTAAATGTCACTTAAATAGAACATGTCTGACATTGTGAAGTAAGCTAAAGGGTCTCAAAAAAGAAAAAAGCACATGATGCCACATTTTAAAGAGATTCAAAAACAAATGTGAAACAAAGTCACTGACATTTGTTAGTTTGGAAAAGGTTACAAAGCCATTGCTAGGGCTCTGGGACTCCAGTGAACCACAGTAAGAGCCATTACCCACAAATGGAGAAGCATGGAACAGTGGTGAACCTTCCCAGAATTGGCAAATTTACCAAAATTTCTCCAAGAGCAAGTCAACATTTCATCCAGAGGTCACAAAAGAACCCAGACGAACATCAAAGGAACTGCAGGCCTCACTTGCCCCAGTGAAGGTCAGCATACATGATTCCACAATAAAGACGACACTGGCCAAAAATGGCATCCATGGGACCGGTGCAAGGCACAAACCACTCCTGACGTAAAAGAACATTAAGGTTCGTCTGGCATTTGCAAAAAAAATAAAAAATCCAAATGAAGCACCAACAGACAGGGAACCAGTCTGAGCATGTATCAAAGTTGACAATCTGACCCAAATAAGGAGTCCAAAACAAGAAGACAGTCTGGAGAGCAGCCGGAGGCTGGTCGAGCATGTGGGGCTGCTCTGGAGGGTGGTCTTGAGACAGTAGTGGAGATGGAACCCCAATGGAGGCCGGCGAGACAGGGCCAGATACAGATGGGGCTCAGTTGGGAGCAAAGACTCTTGTGTATAGAAAGTGCCAGCTCACTATGGCGCAGGTGGATACGACCAAAACTGGGTATAATGGGAAATTTTTAGTGAGCAGGCTTTCCAGTCCAAGAGCTTTGTTCAGGAGTAAGGACATGGAGCTGGATGACATGGAAATGGGGGGTGCTTGAGAGCGTCCTCTGTGTTGGTTACCTCAACGTTTTTGAGGGTTGGTTTAAAGGGTAGGCAGGTCCCCTAGAAAGGAGACTCCTTGGCATTACTGGAGGTGTTATCTGAGGGAACAGGACCTGAATGGTTACTGGGTGGTGGTGTGGACAGGATACTAATGGGGCGGAGGTTTAAACTGCGCTATACAAATAAAATTGAATTGAATTGAATTGAATTGAATTGAATTGAATTGGGGCTGCAAGGTGGCGTAGTTGGTTAGTACTGTTGCCTCGCGCAGCAAGAAGGTCGCCGGTTTTCCATAATCCATAGAAATAAATAAGGAAATACGAACACTTGTAAGAGTCATTGTCATCAAACAGCATGTCTGCTGGGTCCATTTTCTGGCCAGATCGCACTGTCACGGTTTGCAATAGGAGAACCTGGGTGCAGAAACTAAGGAGGATGAATTGATCAGAGACTTGGTGCAGAAGGTGTTTATTTACAAGTTGGTTGAAGGTAAATGGAAACCAAACTCACAGGTATGTGAACTGGGAAGGGGGTAACTGGCATGCTTACATAACAAAAGGCTAGGCTAATGACAGAAACTGAATAATAATAATAAAAATGTCTAAAAAAAAAAAAACAAAATTTAAAACTCGCAGGAGGAAGGAAAAACAAGGAAAAACTTTACTGACAGAGCCAGCTGGGAAGAGCCAAGCTGGAAAACCGGTTGATTCGTTCAGAGTCCAGAGGTTGTGGCAGCAGGAACAGGTAGAGAAAAATTCAGAGTGGAGAAAAAGACAAGGAACCAGTCTGAGCATGTATCAAAGTTGGCAGAGAGTGAAATCTTAGCTCGGGTTTTATGGAGAGGAATATTGATTGGTGGCAGGTGAGGCAGCCTATGCTCAGCTGCTGCTGTTTGCTGGCGTTATTTGTAAGCGTATTATGATGACAACAAACTACATCAACAGAGTAGATGAAGAACCCACAAGGAAAACTGAACAAAGAGAAAAGCCAAGGTATGTATACATGGACAATGCAGAGACAAAAGCGGCTTTGATAAGTGAAGAGAGGGCTTCACTTTAACAGAGATTCAACACTGAGATAAGTCTCTGTCCTTCAATCTGGAAAATCTCAGGCTGATTATTTAATATTTCTTTGGTCATCATTTTTATGGGACAAATGGTTCTCAGAAATTCAAAAAAATCAGAGAAGAATCAATCTGAGGAAGTAGATTCCAATAAATGAATCAAATACCTCAAAGTAATTAAAAATATTTGTCTTTTTCCCTTTTTTTCAAATAACTGACAAGTTACAGTTTGTATGGCTACTGAGGAGATATTTGATATTTGGAACATATCTCGTCTTGGCCTCTACTCTGTTTAGCAGAGATCAGAGAATGGTGAAAAGAAACTGCATTAGGTACATCTTACACAAAACACCATTGCAATATTTTAAATTTAAACTGTTGTAGTAAACCAAACTGTCCAAACCTGCATAGACATAAAGCAGCAGGACATTTTAATGAAAGTCCAGTGTGGGCTTTATGTTCAGTTGCATCTTTGGTGCCCATTGCTGTGCATAGTAAAGCTCTCACCTCTTGGCCAGTAGCTGAGATCTTGTCCCAGATGGAGAGATAAGGTTGATCTCCAGGTCTCCTCGTCGTGGGTGGACAATCAGGACCTTGACCACCACATGTTCCAGGTAATCCACATGCTGCTCAGGCTCTTCTGAGCATCCAGAGGCAGTGATGCTGCTGTTCAAGCTTTGGCCAACATGGATGTGCCTGACACAGCCATAAGCATAAGCATTATGCATCTACCATACATAAGAGCTGTTTATTATCCTCCCACATATCCTTTCCTGATTTGCAGTGTCGTGTTTGCAAGATGCAACAACGCAAATGAGCAGTGTGTCTATGTTTCATGATGAATGTCACTTTCATTGTGCTAAGCTGCATCTCGACCATTCACCTATTTGCTGAGCTCTTGATCAACAGATAAATTAGATGTTTTAACATGACAGCTGTAATTTGCATGACTATATGTACGCACACACGCACACACACACACACACACACACACACGTGCATGGAATTGTGCTTTCAATATTGATTGTCTCTATGATTTTTCAATTTTTGAATTCTTTACTTTTGAGATTGTGTACTTCATGTGTACTTCATCCAGATACATAAGAAATATACATGCTGTATACAGTATAGTCCCATATGTTATTAAGTAAATATTGTTGCTCTGATGCATGTTCTTGAAGTATCCCTTCTGTAAATATGATACATGCACAGTATCAATGCACCTCACTGCTGTTCTACCATATTTGTGATTTACATTACTTTCACTATTTGAATTTTTTTTCTCTCCACATACTTTTGTTGGTTGAGTTTCTAAAGAATGCTCAGCTACACACAGCACCTGGCTGGAGTTCACCTCACCTGGTGCGTCGCTCAGGCCTCTGAGTGCAGATGTGCTGAGGAGGAACAGTCCTCCATTTTGTGGCCTCCAGCACCATGGCCTCTGCATCCACTAGACCGAAACCATACAGGTGACTGACTGTGAGAAAAAACAAAACAAAGAGCAATGTATGAAAATTGATTATGTTCCTAGAATCACCTACAGCTTCAGTGTTTCACAGTTTCAAATATTTTAGGTATCAAACATTTGTTATGTTATGTTAATTAATATATGTTAATATCAGAAGTAGAATGCAGTGTGCCTCTGTATCCAGCAGCATTGGTCTTCCAGTCATCAGCTTTCAGGTGGACTGGTCTGGAAGTCTTCACCAGAAGATGTTGCACATCCCTCCATGTGAGCAAAAGGCTGCAGAAACAACACACTGCTTATTTCATTTGACAGACTGACTCAAGACCATCTCTTTGTTAATTCATTTTGTCTGTTTCAATTCAATTTAATTGATGTAGCATTTAATCTGAAGGCAGTTCACACAATAATGCCAAAACTTCAAATGTCAAACCAGTTAAGCATGGTAAGCCTGACAGATGAACGTCAGATACCACAGCATTTCTAGTCTAAGCTATTTTGCAGTGCTCCCTAAAGTTTTTGGCAGAGAGTTCCCCTGATCACATTTTTCTTGACAGCGCACTCATATCATTAGGATACAGAAGACACAAAACAGCATTTACATTGAACGGGTTAGTCTGGGAAGTAATTTGCATTTGGAAATGTAAAGGTTGAGTCACCTCAGACACCATTCTGACCTCTTCACGTCTAGCAAAACTGCAAATTTGATGTTA